TAGTAATGAAATAAAAGGCCATGTAAGTGCACTTAAAGAGAGACACTTTCATGACTGTTTATTAACTTGCACTTTTAAAAAGTGCAATTTGTAATAATGTTAAATCAAGTTTAAAGTACATTTTAAATAATGTTTTAAGAATCTTATGTAGTACTTTATAGAATTGCACTTATATGTAATTCCTCAGCATTTTATGTTAGATGTCTGTTCAACCCTTGCAATTAAAGCTTAAAGTCTGCAATTCAATTGCATCTTGATTGTTTCATTTTAATTCTATTCTGCCGGCATACAGAGCCGAGATTATAAAAATCGTGTCAGTGTCCAAATATATATGGACCTAACTGTATATATACTGTATATAGTATAATTTTTTTATATAAGTATTTATTTATTTAAAATAATTATTTTTAAAGTACTTATTTTTCACAGGGTTCGCCTCTCCTACCAATCCAAAAATCATTGTTTTGTTGTTGTTGTTGTTGTTATTGGGGGCAGGGGGGGGACAAGTATTAATTAAAATACATAAAAGTAGGTGTTGGCTCCTAATTTAAATCTTTAACTCTTTAATCTAAATTAAGCACTGTTACATTGCATTTAGTCCTATTAACTAATTAACTATTTAAGAATGTAATAGGAATGTAAACTATAATACATTTTCATTTAATTGCAAATATAATGCAAATACGTGAAAGGTCACATTCAGTTCAGACTTAAGTATATTCCTTTAAAGTACTTAATTTTAAAGTATTCTTTGCAGGGTTTGCCTCTCCTACCAAACCAAAAAAATCTTGTTTTGTTGTTGTTGTTTTTTTTATTGGGGGAATAAAAAAGGAGCAAAAATCTACTGTACCCTTCAACTCCAGAATAATAAAGCAGTCCAAAAGTTTACAAAGGTTAACACAGATAGTCTGCCGGGGGGGGGTCATGTTTGTTCTGTTTAGAAGACCCTGGCTGAAGCCCAGCGGAGCCACTGTGCTCACGGATGTTTTGGCTCTTTGGATGTGCAGCGCTGAATCCTTCAGCTCTGGCAAAGCTAACCCACCATTTGGGTCTTTCCTGCCGGCCAAACCTCCCAGTCTGCCACCCCATGGGCATAAAACTAACACTCAGTCCAGCTTTCAAATTAATAGCAAAGATGTGATGCTTGTCATAAGGGACCACAACTGAGACTGATCATAACACAAAATGTATGAATACAACTTTATAATGAAAGACGCACATAGCTAATGCACAAATATAAGCTAGTTACTTAAAAGAACAAGATAATCATCCTCCTAGGCTCTTGTAATAAACAGGCTATTTAAAGCGGAATGAAATTATGGCGTAGTCAGTCTTGTGATCTGATTACAAAGCAGCTGCTTCAAAAGCTCTATGTGTAATTTATGTTACCACGAGAAAGGAAAACTCCAGTAGACGTATAGCAGGCGACTGCTGCAGTAATTACCCATAAATATAAAGTTTCACAGCGCCACATATTCACTTCCCTCAGAGCAATTATGTCGAGGACGGAGGCGACACGCGCTGGCGTCTGCCCTGATTTGAATATTTTTGGAAGCACATGTGTGCCTGCGCAGATTTAGCAGACTGTGTTCTAAGCTGCATATGTTAACAACATGAAACAGCGCTTTTCATGCACACTAGCTAGGCCAATTACAACTGCTCTCCCTCCTTATTTTAATTTAGTCAAGAGGGAGACTGTTATCGTTTAAATTACACTCTATCGGGGCCCGCAGATGGTATGAGTTAGTTGCAGAGGTAATAAATTGTGCACTCACTCCCACAGAGCAGGTGAATAGTGAAGTTCTGGCAGCGCTCTACCAGTGCCGGCTGCTTTGAGTGCAAAACGATGCTTCTTGACAGCGAGGAGTTAACTGGCATTGAATATATTCATTTATTGAAATATTTACCCTAGTGTCAGGCTGTGACACCCGTTCTACATTGGCTTTGGCTTGTACAAATATGTCCCATCATAGACACCAACAGAGAAACCACAAAGTAGACCGAGCAAGTGACATAGATGCATTACTTTGTCAGTATGGGAGAAATAAAAGATGCCTTGGTCTTACAAAAATGAATGGTTCCTTGTGGGAAGTGCTGACAATTTATTGACATCTGATGTCTTTGTTACAGTATATACTGTATATGGGGTTTGTGTTATTTGGCCATGTGGAGAGGGGCTGATGCCTATTTCCCTTAGAAGATGGCTGTCTTTCTTTCTTTGGGTCTCTAACCACCTACATACAGGCAGCTATCATGCCTCATTGATGACTATGATAGAAGCAGATGGATTAGACACCAGGTCTTCCTCTTATTGCCATGGTAACCTCTAAATTGGGTTCCACTTTCCTGTGATAGCGTACGTCTGGTAGGGACTCATACTGATGTCTTTCTGTTCCATTACTGAAACGTTAGACTTAAAAAGGGTTCATGTATTTCTCGACTTGTGGATCTGATACCACTTTTACAAATTAGCTTAAGGATATGTGTCACATTATCTTAGGGAGTACCACTGTGACCCGCTCGAGGTGAAAACTAGATCTTAGACTGATAGCAAGGCTTTGAATTTATAAATTAAATCTAAGGGAAGTTAAGACAGGGAAGTTTGATGTCGTGACTTGAAATCAGTGAAAGTGAGGTAGGACGTATGCAAAGGTAAATATATTTTGCTGGTCCTAGAACAACGTTCTGATAAACACAGTCCTAACCTGGTTGGAATGCACAACACAAATGATTTCTGAACAGATTTTAAAACAGTAGGCATCATAAACTTGCCCTCGTTGTAATAGTCACATCCATCATTCACTAAACGACTGAGAATCATACACTACCATACTTTAAAGTTGTTCCAATCACAACAAACTCGCGCAGAAACGTGCGCCTAGGAGACGTGACAATTGAAAACAATGTACATTCTAAAATTGGCTTAAAATATCAAACGTCATATCATATCATAATTTGTAGCTAAATATAGCTACAAATCATATCATAGTTTGAAGCTAAAAATCTGAGTTTGTGGTTACACACTATGCAACTTTTTTTTAACAAAATCTGTCAACTCAAATCTGCAGACTAGCTCTGACTTTCGGCAACTAGTGTCAACTTCTCCAGACTGTAAATCAGGGGAAAATCGGGGCAGAAGTTGTGTAGTGCATTCCAGTCTTAAACTGTAACTATATTACTGGGGGGGAAATTAAAGATTGATAAGGATGTTGCAGCAATCGCAATTTCCCAAGTCTAAACCAACTCTCTGGAGCTAAACCTACAGAGTTTAGCTCCAACCTGCCCCCAAAACACTTGCCTAGAAGATTCTAGTCATCCTGAGAGCTTGACTACCTGGTTCAGGTGTGTTTTATGTAGGACTGGAGCTTAACTCTGCAGGATAGTGGACCTACAAGAGCAGGACTGGACACTCTTGAATAAGGATGTTCACCAAAGAACACTTACCAATTACTTCCTAACTACCTACACTGTCAGAAAAATGTGCAAAGACGGTACCTTTATATGTTTAACAGCTTGTCACTGGCGCAGTCCTCTTAAAAAGGTAACTTTGTACCTTATCTACCCCTAAAAAGTGCATTTTAGTAGTCATTTCTTCCCTTTAAGATACTACTTTGAACCTTTTAGGGGTACATAAGACACAGATTTGAGGGTACTGCCCAAGTGACAACTTGTTGTACCCTTAAAGGTGCAATTATTGCATGTTTCTGAGATTGTACAGGAATTATAACATCATGCAATATGTTTTTTTTTAATGCTATCCCTGTAAAAAACAAAAAAAACAGCATATGCTGGTTAGGTATGTTTTAAAGCATGGAAGCTGGATTGAGCTGGTTTAAGCTGGTTCTTAGTTGGTCATGAGCTGGTTTAAGCTGGTTCTTAGTTGGTCATGAGCTGGTTTAAGCTGGTCCTAAGCAGGAGCCTAGGTGCTTAGGACCAGCTTAGGATCAGCAGATGACCATCTTAAACCAGCTCATAACCAGTTTATAACCAGCTCAGGACCAGCTCAAACCAGCTGCCATGCTTCAAAACATACCTAACCAGCATATGCGTTTTTTTTGTTGTTGTTTTTTCAACAGGGATATGAAGTTCGCTGGCTTTTGTGTGGTTTGTCACTAACTTGTGTTTAGTAGTAATAATTGTTCAGTAACTTATGGTCTTTAACTGCTTGGAGTGGGCTAAGCTGGTTCTTAGTTGGTCATGAGCTGGTTTAAGCTGGTCCTAAGCAGGAGCCTAGGTGCTTAGGACCAGCTTAGGATCAGCAGATGACCATCTTAAACCAGCTCATAACCAGTTTATAACCAGCTCAGGACCAGCTCAAACCAGCTGCCATGCTTCAAAACATACCTAACCAGCATATGCGTTTTTTTTGTTGTTGTTTTTTCAACAGGGATATGAAGTTCGCTGGCTTTTGTGTGGTTTGTCACTAACTTGTGTTTAGTAGTAATAATTGTTCAGTAACTTATGGTCTTTAACTGCTTGGAGTGGGCTTCAAAACTCTATATCATCTCTGTCTACTGTTTATAGGTGGGCCAAAGGAGGAAGCATGATAAAGGAAGTGTCTGGAGACACATATGAGGTCATAGTGGATCACTCGTTTTTCACAGAGCCAGTTTCCTGTGAGGTCACCAACCCTCTTGGGAGCACCAACATCAGTCGGAACGTGGATGTCTACTGTGAGTTATTTCTGTTTTTTCCACATCAGAGTTGTCCAAAACTTCATGGCGTACCATGTTCCTACAGAGCTGTTTCAAAACAGCTGCACACTTCTAGCAGTCCTAAAGACCTTGAGTAGCTGGTTCAGGTGTGTTAAATTATAGTCGAGCAAAGCTCTGTAAGAATATGACCCACTGTGAGAAGAATTGGACACCTCTGGTTCATCATTTTTGAAAGTATCTCCTCAAATGTCAGGAGAAATACTTAAAATTCAGTTGCCACCAGTCTCACATTAAAACAAACTTACAAGAATTATGTTTAAAATGTGACCTCTCTGAATAGATCTTATAACCTGGTTTATGTTCTCCAGTTGGACCTCGGATGGCTGCAGAGCCCCAGTCTTTACAGGTTGACCTAGGATCCGATGCTGTGTTTAACTGTGCCTGGACCGGAAACCCCTCTTTAACTATTGTATGGATGAAAAGGGGCTCTGGGGTGGTAAGTTGCTAGGCATTGTTATTGGGCATTGCCATATAACCCTGCTCCACGTTTAATCTTTGAAGTAAACCCATAGTTCTCTTTCACCAATCATCCCATTTTTTCATTCTAGCTACATTAATAGTGCATTGATGTTCAGTCATCTTGTCTTTGTAAAGAAGAGATCAAGCAAACATGAAAAAAAAAATCTATTTCATTTGATTTTGGCTTTTCATCCATTCATTTTAAACTTCAATATAATATTCTCTGTATAAAACCTTTGATCTATTAATGAATTGCCTTCTATTTCTGAACAGCTCAGAAACAGAATCAGAACATTTCTAAAAAAGGACAGGATGGCACATTCAGTGCTGTGCCCCGATGGCAAACATCAGGGTTTTTCAGATTCCATGCGATTCTATTACATGCAGATGGATAGTGGCTCAGTTTGGGGTATGTCTGTATTCTGGCACAGAAATTGGGGAAATGGTGCCCCACTGAAACCAGCCGGTCTCATTTCTCTCTCGGTTGACTGTCACCTACCATCACCCATGTTCACACGGTCCTCCTCATCTGACCCAAATTGGATTTTAATAATTGAGAAGAAGGTCCTTTTCCAAGCTTAGCTGCCCATCCATGAGTCCTGATTCATTTTGACTCTGGCCAGCTCCCTTTGCACTCCTTTTTAATGTTTTGATCTTTGACCTCTGGCTACAGGTGCTAAGCAATGAAAACATCTTGACATTGAAATCTGTCAGGCAAGAGGATGCTGGGAAGTATGTGTGCCGTGCAGTGGTGCCTCGTGTTGGAGCGGCCGAGAAGGAAGTCTCTCTCACCGTAAATGGTACGTTTGATGCTTTTGTACTGTACAAGGTTCATGGCTAAAGAGGTCTGTTTGATGAGTGCAAACGTGCCCGTTTGGAACATATGTAAATGAAAAAGGTGCAAGAAATTGGAAATCCAGGTGACAAGAATTAGACCTATTTTGGAATTAATGTTGACTCTGAGACAGAAGTTTGATGTTTACTCATCGGTCTGCTATTTCTCTGGGCTAATGCTGATTATATTCAGTAAGAATTGCACGATGAGCTGTTTCTTAGGCTGTGACAGGCTAATGAACACAGGAGAATAGCGGGAGACTGGCTACTCTCAGATAAATGACTTCATTACGGCCGCTTGATATTCAGGCGGCATGCATTAGCCACACGACAGCTTTCATTCGCAAAATCCAACACGTCTTTTAAAAGCTCCTTTCTCTCCGAAGCTATTTGCCATGGGCCACGGCTTTGACGTGAGTGGAAAATAAGAGAAGTTCAGCCAAAGTGACAATTGTGTTTGCATTGAATGATTCCTCTGCAAGTTTAGATTCACTAATGCAGTTTGGTGCTGGGAAATGAAAGAAAATCAATAAAGAGCTGTTATGACTGATAGTATTAATATGCAAAGTCAGATATTCATTCGAGGTTTACAGACAACTCAGGAATTACAGAAATTACAGATGACATCCACTTTCATCAAGTACATTCTGTTCTTTATGAGGACAGTAAAGGGTACTTCTGCTTTGCATTCATTTCTGACTCCTAGAGAGTTCAGGATTGCCTGGAATCCCAAATAAATACAGTCTTGTTGTTTGTTTGGTTATTTGTTCTGGTAGTGGAAGATTTATAGACGTTTATGGAAAGATCCAACACTACCATATTAACCCCTTTAAGTCCACAGGCAACCAAAGTTGCCGAAGGCTCTGCAATGGTTTTACCATCTGTAAATATTTTTTGGGTAACTATAGTGTCCCAAAACAACAGGTGTATAAGTAGACAACCTTAGGAAGAGCTTTTCACAATATACTGGATAATATGTCACGTTATGGTGTTTAATTTGTACAGTTTTTGGACGTTTACTGTGAAAAGTATTTAAAGAAACCTATAAATATTGCAAAAATGAGTGAAAATTAAAATTCACACCCCAAATCTGGCACCATTCTTGTACAGAAGAGCTGGCACAGGTGAGGCTGCTCTCGGCGGGTTCAAGAGCGCTGAACGAATGCTGACGCCCTGGAACTCACGTTTCCAAAAACGTCAAAGCAAATTTTCAAATAGACGTTTTCTTTATTAACTCTTTCCCCGCATTGACGATTTATCTCGTCTTTTACAAGAAAACGCTATGTTTCTCGTCTTTTACAAGAAAACGCTCTTGGATTAAGAAATAATACAATCATCAGCAATAGACAGCATATAAATGAAAACTGCATAATGTTACAGAGTAAAATGTTGATCCAGAAAGTGGTATATGTCTGTACAAGCTTTGGAGGTATTGATGGAAGCGATTTACTGGATTTATGCTTTGATAATCGTACTGAATATTATCCATATGTAGTTTTTGATAAAAATTTGATTATCTCACTTTTTTGCTCAAAATTATGCATTTTTTATGAAACCTACCTACAGTGTGTACGGAAAGTATTCAGACCCCCTTCAATTTTTCACTCTTTGTATGAAACCTACCTATATTCAAGCGTTGATCAAAAAAAAATGTAATGCTTTAAGCTAGAATAAAATTGATTTTTTTTGTTTAAAAGTAGAGGCTTTATTTTGGTGTATTGCATATTCAAATATTCATACAGCAAAATATACTGGAGGCCATTAAATTTTTAGTGAAAATCATCAAAATCGCTGGCGGTGACTGGCAACTTTTTAAAAAAATGCTGGCGGGGAAAGCGTTAACAAACTGCATATTTGAAGTCTAAACAAGCACATTCTCACCTATACTCTTAAAAATGCATTCTGTGACATAAAAACAGTATTATTTATACAATTTTTGTGGATTTGGACGTGCGCAATGACACTCGCTGTGAGAAATACTGCAAGCGGAGTGATACAAACG